TGACTCTAAATCTGCCACTCGACTATGCTTCTTCCGGACTCAGTCGTCCAATTTGAGCATTCATATCACCTACCAGGGCTAACATATCTACTATTCTCGTCAACCGATGCGGTCGTGACAAATCTTGATACAGCTCGTCCTTCTCATTCCCGTCACGGTAGTTTCCCGGGGCGTTTTCTGGTACTGTTTACAGCATCTAGCTGAGTTGACCCCAATTGAGCTAGACAACCGCACAGCGCAGAGGCGATTGTTTAATAGGAACCAGTCCATCAGGGCGCTTTCAGCCTTGAGGCCGAATGTAACTCTCACGCCTTAGATACCATGAGCGATTGCATCAGAATCCCCAGATGCCCCGGGTGAAAATATGAAAAATCGGAGCCTGCTTAAGCGGCTCGAGGAGCATGATTGAAGTGGGGTCCTGTGTGCGCGTTTCGGAGGCACGACATGCATCTACATAGAAGGCAAGCACAGTTTCAGCAAGAGATGCCTCCCATTCAATTTGATATAAGCCACGGACATTAAAGGCTGCTATTTGGGTCAGATTATTCGAATTGGTAAGGCTCACGTTTGTTAAAAGAGATTCGTAAAAATATACAGATGGAATAAGCTGTATACTCTATGATGTCTATGGCATACGTCGACGTGCGGAGCTGAAGCTGCCGTTGTAATAATTGTGCTTGTACCTCACCAAAGCCAAATTAGTTAACCAAACAAAACGCACACACCTACCCACTGCCCCCAGAAGTGAACATAAACAATGATAAATATATGTATACAGAAGCTCCTAGCCCTTTGCTACAAACATTCAAGACCAGTGCCCAAAGGCTTTTTATTCGCCATACACTACTTGCTAACTTGAAGCCAATAGCAGTGCTTCGGGGACTGGTGGCCATTTCGCTTACACTCAGTCTCCCCTGATACTGTCCAGCTCTTGTAATAAATACCAGATTAATTAGTCCATCACCTTGGAATTTCACTCCTATCAGCCCTTGTACGTCTGATCCCCACACCACCACTCTGCGTGGTTATATTGGCTTTTGCTATATCCCTTGTATTTTAATATCGAATGTCCGATCCTTGGTCGCTAGTCTACCAAGCACAAATTCAACTATGTCCTATTCCATATAACCACTAGGCATCATCGCCCTAATCGCGTTAGATGTCAAATTTCTCCTTCTATGTATATTAATGCACATTATCCCATTTGATGTCTCCTCAAACTCACCATGCTTTACTAAGCCCATCCCATCCCCTCACCTTCCCAAGCTTTGAAATTCGCCAATACCCGGTTTGGACGACCAGGTTGCCTGTTACCCATTCAACTTTGCCTATGATCTACAACCACAGGATCCCCAAACGGACCAAAAATCCTGCTATCCCATGATGGCTTCGCTCCATCTTGTTTCCTCGGCCAGCCTGAAGGAGTCCCACTGATCAACGAATCGTTCATCCCAGCCCAATGACCTACAATAAGACTGAGATCTGTTACTGGGCCATCCAAAAACCGAAGTCGGTCAGGTTAATAATGGCACGGCGCCGCCATACCCAGTTTGATAGCACACTCGCAATTATTCCCCTCTCACTCTCTACCATAGCCTATCGCCCGCTCGTCCAATTAACTGCGAATACGAGTAAACTCTCCACCTGACCCTAGCTGCCTCCATGACATTTTCATTCCAATCTGCTGAATTTTTCGTTAGAATTTACCCACATCTCGTGTGCCACCATCATCTTACCCTTCCAAGGAGCTATTATGCCCGACATGGCAACACCGACACCGGTGAGTATCTACGGTTTCGTTGTACGCCAAGTTTCTGTTATCCTACCACCATTTATCCGTTTAGCTAATCCCCTCACTTCATTGTCTTCACTTAATCTTTTTGCCCCTGGCAATGAACGTAACATTTCAAGACCACGAGGCCTCAGTAGGAAAGCAGCTTCGCAGTTTTCAAAAATCTGGATATGCTGCTCGCCCGTGAGAAACACCTTACTGTCTTCACACTCCTGTCGCAAATGACAGTACGACTTTGCCTCCAATCTGCCTCGTAATTCGCTGACTCGCGGTACGTGGGCTCGCTGTTCTTCGTGTGACTGCTCCCTGCTTGCCTTCCTGGCAAGAGTGAGCGTTCAGGAACTGATTTCCAGTCACTCTAGCCCGTAAAATCACCGCAGCTTAGAAGCTTGACCACCATGACAAGGTGAAGGCTTAAGTCGGCGGTCTGTTTTCGCTTAGCCTCCATGGTGTGTGCAGAAAGTAGGACGACCTCTCCGACGGCAACATGGGATGCCCGGTATGGTTGGATATTATTTGTAGGCGTGAAGTTCATTGTCATGCATGGGTTGGGATACTGCCAGGGAACGCAGACCAGGAGTCAATTATTATGCTCAACGCGAGTCTTTGGCTGAACAACCTGAACGAAATACAGCAGTGTTTGGTGTGAAGTGCAGGCGCATCAATATTCATTCACAACAGTTCGCCCCACATCTTCCGTGGATTATTCTGAATAGTCTGAAGATTCTGTTGGTCGGTACTCTAACCTGTGTGAGAGACTCTGTAGGCTCGCACGGATATCCTCCGATTTGGCACATTAGGTTTCGGAAGAGTGCAGATCGTTACGCTCGGGTACCGTGCAGTTCCTTCGAGACGCCTTCCATAGCACGGAATACCAGAGAAAGTTGCCAAGCTTGCTGCAACATTAAAAGGAGGATCTACAAGGCCTCAATGCAGAAATTGATATTACTCAAGGGTGCCCACTCCATCCATTCCTATTTGGTTGCTTGATAAACCAAATAACGAGTAGAAGGCCAAAAGGGCTTCCATACCACACTGTATAAATGAGTGCTGGCCAAAATCTTACCAGGCGGGAAAATCGTCGTTGCTTTCAAGGGTGGAAAGGGACATAGTCATTCGAGAGTTGGTCAGTTCGTTTATATGAGCTTCTCACCCACAAAGTGTGAGGTGATGCTCCTGGACGTGTGGTCACTTAATACTCCTTTGACGATTCAGATAAAGGCCTTTGAAGATTGGTTCATGTATACTGCACGTTTAAAATCCCCGATGGTAGACTGAGAGACAGAACAATTGCACGAATCTGAAAGCTTGAGATCTCATTTGGTTACATTCAACGTTTATGCCGCTTGGCAGCACAGTTCCGAACCAAGAACGACGATTATATCAGGCTCAATTACGAGCAGGTTATCAGATAGCTGTAACCGCGCGACCCTGTGGAGTCGCAACACACGTCCTATTTTAGGACGACGTCGGGTGAGGACAAATCGCTTAAGAAACGAGAAACAGGAAGATACAGATATAACACGCATTTTGCTCCACTGACACGCGTAAACATATGCGGAGACAAGGCGGTCAAAAATGTGCATTTGATACCAAACAAAGTCGGATTCGAAGGACGAATAATTTCGGTATCTCTGGATTTCCAAGTAGTATTTCACCCAGTCAGTTCTTCATTAGACGCTTGCTGAGGATCATCGTCGACACCATGAGATCAGCGTTCATCACTGATGCTTCTCTGCTGTACAACCATGATTTACTCGAAAGCCCGATTGCGAGGAAAATAATAAAAATGGGCGAGGAAGGAACTTGGTGCTAGCCTACCACAATCATTCCGGGGTGCCTACATTTCCAGACACCCATTCAGGTACTCTGGATAAAAACTGGCATCGAGAGCCCCATTGACATCGATTAGCGGGCATGTCTTGCGGTGTCTCCAACCAGGCACATTGGGGATCTCACGGTCCCCACCCTGGAATGTGAGTTGGACCGACAGCGCCGACTTTTCGTAATATCTTTCATACCCCGTCAGAGGTTGGTCAACACTTTACTTCCGCTCCTCCGAATCGGGCACGGAAAACAGCACCCTCTTCGGCATACGCAATACACGGCCTAACCAACGCAGCTTCTGGTGCTGGACACATTCTCCGATGGAGGTCCCCGTTGCGCAACCGTCCACTCGCTTTCTAGTTGCTTCGTTACGGATTTTCCGACAGCTACCTATATGATCTGTGGTGTTGAGAACACGGTTGTCGAAGACCGGAATATGTCTCCGTTCCGCTGCTCAAAGATGCTGAGTCTTGACCGTTCAAAAAAACAGCCTGTACTATATCCTGATGCACTCGTTTCTTGAATTTCATGGATATACAGCATTGGCGTCACAGGTGCCTCAGATTAGCAAACACGACCCAGCCTTGCAGATTCGTGCACTGACCTCATCTGTCACACTACAATTCAGAACTAATGCAACTTCCGAGGCGCGTGAAATGCCCCACAACTCGAGCGTCCCTCCCTGGATTGTAAGTGGCGTATTCAGTGACCGTATGTCCAGGAGCGAAGCACATGGCAAAGGACCGACAGACTCTCGAACAACAACTGTGATTTTTCCACAATTCAAAGATGAGAACGACGTCATCTGCATGTTCCAGATCGCCAGCAGCCATTTGAACACTGCGATATGGAAGTCTTTTATTCTTCTCCTCATTATCCGGTTTATCGAGAAATTAAATGAGTATGGATGGAGTGGGCGGCCTTGACGAACATCACATGTGTACGGAAGCTTTTGGAGAACCCCCTATACTCGCACACGCCGACAAGTGTGAGGATACAAGGAAGTTCCGGGGTATTCCTCGCTAGGCAAGCGCATTAAGGAGAGCAGACTGGTCAACCGAGTCGGATGCTTCTGGGAAATCCAGGAATGCTAAAATTGTGAAACGATTAAATCAGGCTTAAATAGGATAGCGGATAGCTTGAAGAATCGGCTCCTTCAGGTAGTATATTTCCGTCAACTGTTATCTCAGAACCATAGCTGATGTAATCTGGTGCCGGCGAGATCATTAGAAAACGAGTCTTCGGTTGTGCAGCAGGGACTTCAATCGAGGAATATGCTCAGCAGCATAGCCCGCGATGGTTTGGTCATTCGTCATCATCAGAGACAGGAACGACAGTGTTGGAAGTGGTGCACGTGTCGAATTATCATTCTCCCAAAAGAATGTTTTTTTCCGTATCCCATTCGGGGTGGCGCATGCAGAAAGGATACGAAATCGGTTCGGAAAAAAGTCTGGGTACTGTCGGTGAGATTCGCATTCCAGGATAAGTTGCCGTGCCCTGTGACCATGTATGGTTGTGCATGGCTGCAAAACATGGTTTCCAATGGATGTTAGTGACCTCTCGTCCGTTTCTTTTCGGAAGTGATCGTCGTAGGCTGGCACAAAGTTCTGTCCCCACTCACTTTTCTTCCCTTCTTCACACTAAGGCTTCCAAATAAACTGTATTTGTACGGCAGCGAGAAGGCAGTGTTGAACACCGATGATGATGCCACAGATCGTGTCTCGGGCGAACTGATGTACCCCATTCGCATATTGAAATCTTCAGCAATCAGGGTCTGGAACCTTCGGAGTGGATAAGAGTGCGGATACTCTTCGATGGTGTTTTTCATGGAATCAGCATGCAGTGGAGTAAAACAACAGTTCCGAAGTATAGCTGAAACATAAATTATAACAAGGAATACCTATGACCTGATAGTAAGCGATCGAATTCTATGTCCGCACTACATGACACCATGATTCTTTCGCCTATCTGGTTCATACGAGATGATCCACACAACTCATTTCCCAAAACGAGTGTGAAGGAATGTGAAGATTCGGTCAACGCAACCTCTACCAGGCAAAAGAAGTATACAATTCAAGGAATATTTCGGGGTTTAGGAAATCCAGAAAACAACGCAGTATTGTCGTTCGAATTATCGCACATACAATAAGGGGTAATATAACAGCAATTTCACTCACGATTTCGTTTTTCGTGTAGCCACACTTACGCAGCTTACAGAACTCTTCATGTTCGTGGGTTCGATCTGAAGGAATCCAGTGGTTTTCATCGAAAGTGCACTTCTGCAAGGGCTACAAATGAGTAGAATGAAGTCGTCGTGGTCCTAAATTTGAGAAACGCGTTTTTGTGTAAAAGTATGATAAACATACGGGTGTGTTAGGTCCAAACTGAGCGGGAGAGTATAGTGATAGGTATATATAAACGGCACATCCAATTTGTTTGCTAATTGTGCTACAACTGAAAGATTAATCTTATTATTTTCTACAATCTTCAGCCTTTTGTGCCATCCAATTAGAACCGTTGGTGATGGGCCGACTTCTCGTGCTTCTTTCTGGTGGCATAGCAGTCGGGCACCTACATGTGCTACAACTGAAAGATTAATCTTATTATTTTCTACAATCTTCAGCCTTTTGTGCCATCCAATTAGAACCGTTGGTGACTGGGCCGACTAGTGTGTACTGCCAGTCATAGAAACAGCCTCCTATTTGCACTAAAATAATTCTGTGGCCTATTGCATCGGAATTCTGTGCGTTCCTGGTGGACTGTCCAACTCGGTAATCTCAGTCGTTTCTGGTGTCCCCGAATAGGTTATTAATGACCACCATCCTTTCCTTTTTGCCCTCATGTCAGTTCTAAATATTCACTGACAGAAAAAATCGACGCCTTGTTTTTGTTTCTCAGTTTACAGCTGGCATATCCCATATCGAGGGCTCTGATAATGCCGTTGCGGAAGCTGACTCCCTCACGGCGGTAAACCTCATCAGAGCGGCCTCTACCGATCTACTGCATGCTTTTGATTTCGCTTGCCGGTCGGAAGCAGAATTTTGACTTTCTAGCCTTGCGTCTATTAAATTCTTCAAGTTATCGCTTCTTAACTCTGACATCCTTATTGTTTGTCAGGTATTTTACACAGGATGTCCAAGGCCTTTGATTCTTGAAAAATGTAGGCGGTCACTTTCACGCACTCTCTCACTGAAGCATACGAGCTGCTGCCGAACTCGTGTCCTAAAGATGCGTTTGGCCAAACATGCAACAAGGGATCACACTTTAATTTGGTAACGTCCCGACTGTCGGAAAAGCGATATTCGTCGACATATTATCTTTACAGCTGTCTGACTTGCGCTTTCGATATCAATTCAACAACCTTGTTGAACTGATGCCACCATCCAGAAGCCTCACTCAAATTTTCATTTGTGTTGACTGTTTCATATGCTGGCCCATGGCATTTCCAATCAGTTACGCATCAGCTGAAAGTGGTGCCGGAATTTTTATCAAAAATAGATTGCTATATTTGGTGTAGCCACTATCGTAACCATTCATCAAGGTCCGCAATTTAAGTCAACACTATTGTTTTTGATGACATTCATAGAAATGTGGGTAAACAAGGTGAAAGCTACTTAAAATTCCGAGTGGGATAACTCTTGGATACATAACTAGGTTTGATTCGAGAAATCTCAAGGCAAATTTTGACTTCACTCCAAACCTTTGATGAAAGAAGTGTTGAATATGGTCACAAGATGGCTGTGTGAGGAAAGAAGGTCAATGGATGATATTTCAAGGCACGTGGATTGGTTTTGTAATGTTACGTTTACGTATCAGATTATAAAAGTCTAACTGTTATTATCACACTAAAAGTATGCAAAGCTTTTCCGGACGAATTCCCAAAATAGTTTCAGATTTTCTTCCGTGTATTGACATTCCATCTTTTTTAGGCTTTAAGCATTTAACAGTTTCATTTGCTCCGAGCTTTCGTAAGCACACCCCGAATTTCACTGAAGCCGTAGATTGATCGAAGGAATCTACAGCATGAGGATAACATATGACGTCATAGTTCAGTGCAATGTTACTCGTTTGCATTTGTTCCGTCAAAATCCTTGAACATGGCGAACAGACATGTGGCACTGTCTATTCAAGTCTGCTGCCCCGACACCTACGGTTGGATGTATGAGTGAAATGGAAAGGAACACTATTCAGTTTTGTGAATATTACCCCACGCCGCAACCCAAATGAACATCCGCATATCACGATATTATCGTTAATGGAAGAGGACATGCCTCATCTATGGTTCTGGAGCCTGAACGTCTCAATGGGTTTTGCCGAGTAACACTAAATTTGTAGGTGGAGTTCTAGATGCCTTCACGGGATTCCAGCTGACGGGTGCTAGGGCACGCTGAGAACCGTAACTCACCTAACCTGTTATTTTTTTACTTGATATGAGTCCCGCGTTCTGGACCAGCGTTGGTATTGGGGTCACAAAGCTTCTGCTTCAAATAAAACGTCACAGCCACGTGCCTAGAAAACCTTTACGTGAATGTTTCATTTTCGACCTAATGCTGCCTATATACTAATAATTTTCTGTTCAATACCGTCATCCTACGGTGAAACTTGACTTTTGCTTTTCCAATTTTGTTTTATTCGCTTGGTTTTCTACGAGCATCGATATTTTATCTTTCTGATAATCGTACTGTCACAAACATTCGGTTGCTCTGCTCGAAACTAATAATCTAAACGTCCGCGTTTGAAAGTTAAGCACCTTTTGACAAGGTGTGGGTGCAGATGTTCGTTTGATGAAGGGGGCCTCATTCACTGCCATACAACACACACAAGCACACATTATTCTGTCACTGCAGATTAAATGAGAGCAACCCCTCTTCACGTAGTGCATGGGATATGTGACCTTGAGTTGTACTCACCACATCTGGGTGGAAAGGTAAGCCTGGGAAGCGGGGCAAAATGACACATTCGGTCCAGCAATCAGCATTTTGCCTGACTTACCGCACAATGTAGTCTTCCTGCTACTCACTGGTGATATTCGGCTCTTCGAAGCCCCACGAGCATGCTGGTCAGCAACAACTTAATTGAAGGATTTCTTTGAGGGCGGTTAATGCTCCAGTGGTTCACTGCCAAGTACTCAGAGGGTGCCGCTCTCCTCCACTGAGGAACTTCCCTCTTCATCGAAAGTACGGTGGCACGGGGATGACATTCCCCAAGGCTGCGTGAATGGTAGTCACCTGGCACCGTCATTCAACTATCCTACCCTGTGCGATCTAGGATGGATTATGGGATCCATTTGAGCATTTCTTGACAGTGCCTAAGGTTTCTCGATTTTTCCCGACTGTAGTTAGCCCGCGCCCGATATCCACTTTGAGGTTTTAATTTTATGATCTAACCGGTTTTGTTCTACTCTAGTCTCTTGACGACCCAGAAAACTGAGATTTCAGAATTGCTACGGTTCTCCGCAGATTGTACAAGTTAATATTCTCACCGTCCACTTTATTTGTGCTGAGGAAGAGTGCCCCCACGGTCTTAACGGAGCCCAGTGCTTTGACACCTTCGCCTTTTCTTGCAGGCGAACCTACACGTTTTCCTCATCTAGATCAAGGCATTGAACTCCGTTGACCTACTTATATAGTGTTCATGCACACAACAGTCTAAGTTGCTGCCAAAGCACAGGCGGCACACAGTACAGCTGTTCACGTCTCCCATAATCTGTGGTTCGGATCGTGATGTCAAAATTCGGGTCCACTTTGCACATCCTCCAAAGGATGGTAGCAACTGCTCTTTGTGTGACCTGAGAACTTCTAAAGCATAACGCATAGCATTAGCGAGATCAACTCAGTCATTTAAACTTTTTTGACGGTTCATTTCACTCTCACTGGTGATTTTCGGATACCTATTAATTTTTCGCAACACCTAGACAAGGGGTTCGTTCAGATTTAGACAAAGGCTTCGTCTGGATCATCCCATCAAAGGTTGTTCAGATGGTGGTTGTGTTGCGTTTCATTAAAACAAACTTTTGTACGGTGACGTGACCGATGTTGAAATGGTGGAAGAATTTGATAGTGAGCGTGGAAAATCTCAGTTTACAAGTGCTACAGAAGACCACCCCTAGAGCGTCAAATTGGCGAACATGATGGTTGAAAAGGAAGTGTCACAATGGTTTGTATTTAAGACGAACAGGAAGTTTGTGGTGCCCACCAGACGTTGTAAGTGAGGGTGTGGGTATTGTAATGGTCGAAGGTGGGTTCGCATGACTACTGTGCAAAAGGGGGGGTTCGCAGTAAGCTCAGCACCGATAGTTGATCGTATGTGCACGTAAACAACTTTCAACTGTCTTGGCGGTCGTTTCGATCACTGATGAAATATTTGCCTTTTCGATAAATCATTCCGAAAGGTTCTCCGTACAGTGGTTGTAATGGCTTTTTAACCGCACTGACGCGCACAAAAACAAAATCACATGTAGCAC